CAGCAGCCCCAAAAGCTACATTAATTACATGTCTTTCAAGCTTTCATTTCTCTTCCATTAGAGGAATTGCATTTGTTTTGCCCGTTGATTCACACTGACAAGAAAAACAAAGAGGAGCTGACAAATGAAGTGAAAAAGACCACAAAGTCAGCTTGAGTTGCTTCAGACAAGCTAATTATTCAGAAACAAAGAATGTGACAATGAGATGCCAAATGTCAAAGCATCTTCTGCAGCTGTTTAAGCTACTGACACTACATTTGACTGTTTGTCCTTAAAACAAAGAGGGACACTGACCTTAATTTCACAAAAATAGTCACATTTATATCAGTGTTAGGCAAACTTTGACAATTTGACTTCATAATGGTTTGTGCCGTCATGTTAAGTCAATTAGCAATGTGGTGACCCTAATTAACAGTGCAAGCTACAACTCATCAGTCACTCCCCTGTATATCAGACATGCTAGTGTAACAATAGTATAATCAACATAACACAAATTCTCTTCTAAAAAACTATTGTAATTTAATAAGATGTAGTTGAGGCAATTATGAAGAATACCTCAATGTCAGTGCATAGGAAAATATGACCTTTGTATCGCTCTCATTTTTATTTTTCATTAGCACACTAGTGCCGTCAGAGGGCTTACATGGAAAGTGCAAAGCTGAAGAAGATGAGAGGTGAATCTTGGCGGCCTCCTTTCATAATCCCTGCTCTCCTCGGTCGCTACTAACACTGTGCTTTTAGCCCAGCTCCTGCCATAACCTATTACTCACATCCCCTCCATAATACTGCCATTATATCCTTGCAAGGTATTCTCAATCCCCACAGAATGCAGCCAGTATTCCCGGGATAACCGAGGGATGACTGGTCCACATGGCTCTATAGAGAATAGAGAATGGGACTAGTGCCCCTGGGAAATCCGACAAAAGAGAAATCATAAAAACTTCTTGTTATTATGGTTTGTGTGAACAAGAAAAATGTAGGTCTAACAACTTACTTTTACTCACCATGGCCTACTGGTAGAAAACAAAAAGTGTCAATGCGTGTTTTGCACAGCCATAGTTGTGCAATATGGGGTGAAAAAAAAATTATCCTTCAATCTTAATTTTTTAAATCTCGATTTCAATCAGATTTTCTTTTCAAAGAAAATTAAAATGACTTTTAAAATTGATTTCATGAATATAAACAGTCCAGACCTTTATTAAGAGTCATTTAACCCCAAAAAATGTAACAAAAAAATCCATCAGAGTGAACTTTGCTGCAAACTACATAATTTCAATGCATTTTCTGCTGTAGACCTCTTGATTAAAAAACCCAACCATATAATTGAAAATGACTGATTCACAATTGGAACTCTATCATTAGATTAATTGTCCAACCCACGTTTTGGCCAACAAGAAAAGCACAGAAAAATTCTGTTCTAGGTGAGTTTGCCTACATTTACTGTACATTATTTTGTTCCTTTTTGAAGATGAGAAAATGTCTGACTAATCTTAACTGAACAAACCTACCTGCTTTAGTGTTTTGTTTTGGGTGTTATTTTTATTATTGTTTTAGTGAAAATTAAATTAAGCTGATCTCTGGATATTGTTTTGAAAGGTTAAACAAAATTAATCAATAATTCCCCAGCTTCAACATATACATATAATTCCAACAAGACGTGGATGATTGTCGTGTTTGAAGCTCAAAGATTGCAAAAAACTAACTTACTTAACTACAAATATTATATTATATATGATAATAGATTATACAATATATGTCAAAAAACACATAATGTTAGTTTTTTTTTAAATATATCTTTACAGTCTTATTTATCTAATCTATTTCTACACAGTTCTATCTCTGTCTGCAAATACCCCACTCTTGTTAGCCACTCCTGTCACAAAATCTGCACAAAGTGGGTTGTGTGATGCCTTACATCTTTGTCACAGTGATTTTTTCTATAGTTTAAAATCATTGTCTTTCTAAAATGTAGGAAGCCAAGTTCCACATAGAAATGTTCAAGACAGAAGAGAGACTCAGAATGCTAGCTGCCACTCAGAAGTGCACACGCGCAGTGATCTTATGGAGTGACAGCTGCCAAAATGTGAAGTGTCTAACAGAGAGAGAGGAGAGGGTCTGTGTTCGCTGGCTGGATAAGTGTGGGAGAGGAGGAGCTGCTGACAAAACTGCAGCATTTCATTGGTTAGAGTGTGGAGTGTAATACTGCGTAGCATTTAACCAGCCAATCAAAATGGCCAAAAAGCACTTAGTTTTATGAATGAAAGGCATATATGTGAGGTACACGCTGAACAGAATCTACTCCACTGTGATGTAACATTACCAGAATAATGCTTCAAGAAAATAAGCTGGGGTTAAAAAAAAAAAAAAGGTTTTAAGAAAAATTGTATTTTAAATATGAGAAAAGATTCCATTTTGTTTTGCCACACATAAGTCATATCTAATTGGGTTAAATTTGTATTTCACATACAACTGATTAACTGTGCTGTGCTCAGGCCAGGAAGCAATAGTCTTATTTTGCCAAATCTGTAGAGCGGGAAGTCATTTTGCCTAACCGCTATGTAAAATCATAACCGAAGAGCACTGTGTGGGGCAGCAGGACAGGGAGGAGACTGGGGAAGAGGAGAGCAGCCAAAAACCATCACAATGTCCTAGTGAGACTTTCCATGAAGGCTGTGCATGTGTGTACACAAGTACCACTTTCTATGAAGTCACTCTTTGGCTCACAGCTTTGCTGCCTAAATCTAATTTACTTCATGTAATGTCATGGGTAAACAGTGCCCTCTATTTTTGATTAAAGGAACAGCAGAAGAGGGCAACAAAAGACATGAAATATTGTACCATTCAGTAGCATGCAGTGGATTTGGTAATGATTAAAATTGTTATAACGACTGTTATGAATTTACAAATATTTACAAAAACAACACATTTGGTAAAGATTACACGTTTAATTCAAATTTTAAAAAAATAAAAATAAAAATAAGTTCTACATTTTGCATTGTGTTAAATAACAAAATAAAAGAAACAGTTTCATTAAGTTGGACTAGCAGAGTGTGAATGAGTTATTCAAGCACACTTTCTGAGATGACCTCATCCTTGAAATGGACGCGTTACAGTGAGCCAACACTGCCACTTAGTGGTGAAATTGAGAATTACTACAAAGGCTTGAACTGGGTGATGTCATGTCTTGAATGGGAATAAACATCACATGTGAGGTCAAAGAGTTCATATTAACAGTGCTAAATTTTAGTCTTACAGACAAAGCATCTTAAGTAATTGTGTTAAATTCACACTGTGTCCACTCAGACTTACTCATCCACACAGTGACTATTTTCATGATCTCATTAACAATGAGCTCACCTTGCACAAAGCCCCAAAGTGGCCTAAATGCCACAGTCACACCAAAGGGAAAATGTCATAATTTCATGCCATTCAAAAACCATGTAGAACCATTTACAACAATAGCTACTGTCTTGAATCCAGTATTCACACAATTTATCCATGGCTGCCCATTTATTTATCTCACAGTTTTAGTGCAATTGAATGAGCTGCATTAAAAATCTAAGGGTCACATGAAAAAACTCAAAAGTACAGACTTAAGGCACTTTAGTATGGTACTTGGAAATAAATAGTCTTACTTTTTTCTCCCTGTGGTTATGGGCATCAGCAAAGTTAACAAAAACAGTTCAATTCATAATATTTAAAACAAACCTGGAGAGGGTTTTTTTTTTTCTCTACACGAGTTAAAGTACAAAATGGTGCTGTTGACAAATGGCAAAGGGGTGTAAGTTAAATAACTGAGTACAGTTTTTGAAGTGAGCTTTAATCAAATCAGTACTTAAAGATAATTGCATCGCCATCTTGTGGTTAATATTTGCAGTTAAGGATTTGCTCAGATTGAACTCTGAGAATTTAAAGTACTATGACTTTTTTGTAGCAAATTGTTACCTATGTGCTGTCAAGTTAGCTAAGGGAAAGTTATGCACAACTGTCCAACGATTAGACAAGAGAGAATGATAAGCAGCTATATTCTCAGAGCAATTTAAGTATTTTAGTCAACATGTTAGCAAAACAAAGCTTAACACATGTTAGTAATGGCAATTTCCTGTTTATTTATGTACACTGGTTGAGATCAACCATTTTTGGTGTAAACTCACAACATAAATATAAAGATGTTATAGAAGACATATTGTGCTTGAGCCAGCTATGTAATTATAATCTGACACCTATGGATCATTATGTTATAGTTGCAGATTTAAAAATCGTAACATCCATCTGAAAGGAATAGAAGTCAACTGACTTCATTGCAACTAGGGAAACGACAATAAGCAATCATATTGTTTAGTGTGATAATATGGGTGGCCAATAATTGTTTGTGGGACATTTTATACAACTGTGATAAATGCCAACAAAGATTGACATTATATCACCAGAATGTGCAGAAAAAAGTATTTATCCATGTTTTCTTCTAGATCATTGTTGTTTCACTTATAACACAGTACAACACTGTAACAGTTTAAATATAAATATTATATATTTATTCAAAAGGTTTGCTTTAAAAGACAGCACAGAGGGACAGCGCTTTCAGAGTTTTTCTTTTTTTTTGGGCTATTCCCACGTCTCATAGCACCATAAACTTGGAATTAATAAACACTACCTGCATTCACACTAGAGAGCAGTAGGATATAATGTGCAATGGCAGTACCAAAACCTGGTTGTATAACAGCATCAAATCTGAACTGTCCACTAGATCAATAAGCTCCAGCACTATTGGTGCTCTTAATGGTGCTGAGGAGTAACAAGCATGAAACTTTCCTCCTTTTCATAAAACCGTTGGCCCAAAAGCAGGTTAAAATCTATGAGTAGTAAATATGTTAATTATTAAACCAGGTATAGATAACTTTAACGTAAACAAAAAAGCAACAACACTGAATTAAAAATACATACAAATAATTAAAAATATTACTATAAAATAAATTCTGGTGGTTACAAATATATATTACCTGTCATTTTGTATCCACTGGCAGCTAGCTGTCCAGCCATGTATTCTCCATCTGAATTGTTGTGGCTGCAACCCCAAGTTTTCATCCATATCTTTTGAGTGCCAGGTATTAAACTGGAAATGAAAAGATAAACCATTATTCATGTTATTTTGTTGTTTATGTTTTATGTCTTATTAGAGTCTGATGTTTTTTTTTCCTACTCAAAAAAATAAATAGGAAACAGGGAAATAATACATTTATTTCTTTCATATTATTAGTGAACAAATAGTAAAGTCTTCCATTTGTAGAGGTATAAGCCTTTGCTGAATTACATTAGGACAAACCTGTCTGCTTGAATCTCTTCATTGATCAGTGGCTCTCTCTTCTTTCGGGACCTTGGTATGATGCTCTTACGGGCTGACTGTCTCTCCTGAGGTGTTGGGTCATTAGAGGAAACCATGTCCTCAATATCTTCAATCAAAGATTCACAGGCCGAGGGCATGATGAGGACTATGAAAAAACAACAATGTAGTTTTTAATGTAAAAAAAGCATTATACATTTGAATACTATTAGAGCAATACCTAATTAATATCTAATGTTTGGCTAATTATAGGAAAAGTGATATTAACAGTGGATTTATTACAGGATAAAGTTTCAGACATCACAACCTTCTAGACCTTTAACATTTAGCTGGAGATATGGGTGGGCTGTTAATGCCACAATCCTAAATAGGGGCAAAACATGGTCCAATTTTCTATTTTCTTTTCAAAAGAAACAACTAAAAACACATACCTAGTGGGTAATGATATTTTTTATCCACAAATATTAAAGTGACAAGAGCCTTGAAATCGCCACAAGCACAAGAAGCATACACATAATTATTAACAGCAGTAAATTCAACTGGCCCTATTTTAAGTGAATATTAGGTTATAGGTCTAAAAAAAATTGGGCAGAAATGTTGCTTTTCAGTAGTCATGCATTACACACTATGACAATCTCGTGATATCTTTATCAACTCCAGAAAGTATTCTGCGTTTAAGAAACATGCTAACAGCTATGACAGCTAAGGCTAGCCCTTTTAGCCATGCCTTTTGCCATCTAGCCTCCAACACGTATGTACAGCCATGACTGACCAACTTTCTTAAAATTCTTACAAAATCCTTACCTTATTTATGGCGTATCGATTTAAAAACAAAACAATTAATTGAAACTACCTAGAAAAGACAACCTCGAAGTCGATAACCTAACCACAAATGATCACAACAGCGCCATGCTTGCGTCTGACTACAGCAAGCAAAAGAGGACAATTTTAGTGTTCGATTTCGAAATGGAAATGTGTGTGCGAGTGTGTGTCCCAAAGAGCTGTAATAAAATCTATTTCTGTTTCTATTATAGATCCATGGTGTAACCCTGAGCTTACAATCTATGCTTACTGTGTGTATAAAAGTCTATCCACTATTATTTGAAACACAAATATCAAAGGGCTGCTGGTGACCAGGCCATCTTATAAGATCTGGTAAAGATTTACAGTTTGCCTGGCAAGTCCAGAATATCTCTCTGGGTCCCAGGCAACTAAAAAGACATTTTTTGCTTAAAGAAACATTAGGTCACCTTTTGCTTTGGGGTCCGTCCCCTGCTTGTTTCTATGGATTGTTCTGCCTGGAAGGTTCCAAAGTATGTATAAATTACACAACTCTACCTTACATTTATTCAGTAATTTACAAGTGGGTTTATAGCTCAAAATTACTTGGAAAAATAGGCATTCTGAATATCAGCGGATTTGCATCGCCACAGATCTGATCTGTAACTTAGTCTGGTTTGATCTTCATGATGATAGAAAGGTTTAATACCATACTGTGAAACACAGCAATTATGTCTCCATGCAGAAAAGAATTTGATGGACCATCCACCAAAAAAGTTACACAATGCACCTTTAACTATTTTTGTGACTAAAGCCAGAACTAGTACACATTACCTAAGTATAACTTCTACATCAGATGTATGCCTACTTTGACAGAGCAACCATACCTTTTATATGGCTTGTTACAGAACATTGTGTCTGTATCAGTGCGATGTTGTTCTGGTTATACGAGATTTAATTTTGCTGTAAAAAGTACTGCCTATGATAATGTGAGCCAACACAGCAGCAGGCCTGAGGGACAAAAAAATATATATAGGTGAGAGCCACTTTTGGCCTCCAAGGCCAGAACACCATGTCCTGCATATGTAGTAGATGTTTGCACCCAGTTTTAACGGTGTACATGGAGCAGTACTCTACTCATTGGTATGGAAATAACTTTTCAGAATTTTGAACTCTTTTGAAAGTGTAATCTACCTCAGCAGAGTTCCATTAGTTTCTTAAAGCATTTGTATTTTTGTTTTCAATAAAGAAAAACATTAACTTGCAGAGTCTTTATTCAAAATTACCATTACAAACAGCTAAGTATACAAAAGTGTTTTTCCCACCCGTACTCCAAAATAAATTGAAATACATATTGACAGATGTTTAAACACATTTGAATTAACACACAATTAGTTTACCCTTTACACATTGACTCACTCGTGCACTCAATTTGCAATTAGATTGTGACAAATGTTTCAAGATAGCAACATTAAAATTGTCACAAATTTGCAATAAGATCCTATTAACTTTACATTTCAAATAAGCAGTTACGTAGGAGATGCATGTCATGGTATTTGGTAACAGCTCAGAAATATAGGGAAAATGCCAGATATTATTCAGCAATTTACTTGATATACAACACATTCATCATTATTGAACCAAATGCCAGAATTAGATTTGAAGATCAGGAACTACAGTCATTCATTACATTTTCAGACTCTGTCAGACTATGGCTGGCATAGGCACCTGCGCTACAATAAAACATTAACATTGCATTATTAACATTTGGAAAGGTATAATCTCTCCAGAAATTACAGTCAAAACAAGATAAAATATTCTGAACAGATTCTGTTCGGTCAAAGAAAACATTTAAGGAAATTGTTTTACAAAATAGCATTTGTGGTTAGTTCAATGGGGAATACTAAACGTGTTTTTTTTTTTATAAATACAAAACATAACCGTTATAAATACGCCTGCAGTAAAAAATCTTTGAATAAGTTTTCATTCTAGTCACCATTCAGTGGTATAATTTCTGTCATCTTTGACAGTACACCAAAATTAGTGCACTTGGGAGAGAAAAGGAAAGAAACTTTAACACATAGTGTCACAAGTAAAAGCTCCCGACACATCAAGTCAGAAACCCTGTGTTAGTTGTAAAATAGGTGTAAAATAGGATTTGATAGACTTACTGACCACTGGAAGACTGTTGGATAATAATTATTTTGGTGAAAATGTTATACAGAATAGTTAACTTTTTACATGAGAAAACTGATTTTGAATTTCAAAACATACGAAAACATTTAAAGGCGTTTAAGAACACAAAACATCTACAATTCCTGATCAACTATGTGTGACCAACAGTTCAAGAACTCATCTGCCATGTCCCTCTATGCCTAGCACTAATGTAGTTAGAGGTAGCCTATAGTACCTTGTGCACTGAAAAATTAGCAAACTGTACATTTTCACATAACCAGCCAACAAGGGCAGGCTAGGCTCCTTGAGAAATCTCTCACGCTTAAAACACACATCATTAAGGGTTGGGTTAAGTTATCCAGCAGCACTGTGCCCTCTAGGGGCAGATTCTAGGGGTCAAGATTCTTATGCTTACAGCAAATGTCATTTACCAGGCAGTTAAAACACTGGATTATTTACCACATAAGAACATTTTTCCATGTGCACATGTTCAATTTTTAAACATTGGGAGGCAAATGCTGACAACAGTTTTGCAGTGGAGTTAAAATTAACAGGCATCCTGTATTTTCACTTCTACACAGTGGGTAAGGTGCATCAAAATCAACACATTTCATACCGCAGTGTAATTCATAGCACAAGCAACATGAAATTGACAGCAAACGGTGATTAAAAGAATGGGGCACTATACAACAGCAAGTGTTTAGGTCAGAAATTATCATGGCATATCTAAAGGGTGCTACTGGTACCTTTTTAAAATCCTTTTCATTTCATAAATGGCATCAAAAAAAATCTAATGGCAAAATCCCTTGTCTGATTTTCAGTGATAGATATGCATGCAATCATCTGACCATTCATTGGAATTTAAATTGTAAAAGGGTACAATGTAAATCCAATTTAGAAAACCGTAACCAAAATGTTGCATTTTGTTTCCACATGAATTTGAGAAACCATCCCTTTGATGACTTAGAATATTTCTTGTTTGTAGTAGACAGTAAAACTATTATGGTACCGTTGACACAGTGGCCCTTCCGATGGAATTTATGAGTGTTTGTGTTTTTAAAAATGTATCAAATTTAAGTGTTGACAGAGCATCATTACCTTCAATCATCAAAATCATTGGTGATAAAACTCAAACTTAACTGGCATCACACAGTACCACATCACAGATGCCACATATTTTTTACAAAATACACTTTAGACATGTGGCTGTGGTGTTTAACTTTGACATTTTCAGTGTAAAAACGTATTGACTTTTGCTGTTATATTATTCATGTACCCTTAGCCTGAGATACCCATTTGAGCAATTGTTTTGATAAATGTGACAAGTTCTTTCAGGTGACTACAGACTGCAGTCAACATGCACTTGTAAAACTTTTAAGCAAACGCTAGCTACACAAAAGATCATCTAGAACAAGAGAAGGCATCCTATCAAAGTCATCAAACAAGTCACTAATTCCCTGGTCATCTCCCAAACCTAACAAGTAGTCATCCTGGTCCAGTGGTGGTCCAAGATTTAGAAATGGTCCTAGGGCAGAGGGGATCTGGTCTTCTGTCTGCTGGAGCAGACTGGTGTATGGCGACGAGATGGGGGACAGAGTGGTGACAGAAACAGCCGAGGCAGAAGGTGGAGCCAAAGAGGAGCTGGAAGTCGAGTTTGAATCTGTAAAAACAAACTATGTTGGCAAATAAAAGAAGTATGACACTTAAAGCTTAAAATTTAAGCATGGATCCTTAGAATTGTTATGGTTGTGTAAAGGAATCAGTCCACAACTTAATCACTGGGGGGAGATGCACCAATGTTTTGGACTAGTACCAATTTCTGAGCAGTTTCACAAACCATACATTGATGCAGGATTGCCGCCTCACTTAATACAGCATTATGGTGTGTGACTTGTACTGTAATGGTGCTATTGTGAATATTTGCAAAGAAAAGCTAAATTCTCAAGGCAGGTATCATTTGGAACAATGGCAGCGCTGCATTTTAGAGCATTTTCGCACTGCCACCCCCGCACTCTGAAGCAGGGTGAGTGAGGTGTGAAGGCAGGTAACTTTAAGCCAACCTACTTGCAGTGTAGTATGGTGAAGGTAAAAGTGCTTGGGTCACACAAGTATGAAACTGCTGCATAGGAGCAATATGCGCTGGACATGGCAAATTGCTAGACATCATGTACAAGTCAGCTGATCTGATCAGGGAGTGACGTTTGGGACACATGTAGTGCAAGTGAAGTAAAGAACTGAACCAGCAACAAAGTAAATGCAGTACACATTGGAGCTGTATCATGAAGCAACATGTAAAGTTAAAAGGGTTAGTTAATCCTGTGATCAGAAATTTTGGCAACTGGCAACTTGATCACAAAGTAGGACCAGAGCCTTGGTAGAAAACATGACAGTGTAGCAGTGACATTTTGATGTTTGTCAGCCACTGGAATTATCCACAAGGTCTTGTCAGTGATCAACACACAAATGCATCTTTACCCTGAAGGACTTTAAGAAAAGGTGAATTCCCATTAATGTCCATGTTGCAGCTTTTGACAGGGCTTCGGGGATCCATCTCCTCATCTGGACATAGCAGCACATCAATGGGACCCTTGGTGCTTGTCAGATGGATAGATAAACTCTGGAAAACAGTACACATAAAAGTTTAATTTCATTATTCTAAGGCATTCTTGAAAGTGCTTTGTGTTGCATTTTTTGTATGAAAAGCGCTCTATAAAGTTTGATTGGTTGAGAAGACTAATATAAATCAAACATATTGAAGACCAAAATGACAAAGCACACAGAAGCAGTTACAGAAAGGTGAAAATGTTTACGTCACAAACCTTTGACATTTAGAAAGACGCGATTACAACTTCTGGTGTAGTTACAGACAATGGGCTCACCTAACATGGCTCTAATTAAAACCCACAATGATACAACCCATTGAAGTAAATGATCAGTGGTTAAATGAAGACCGCATATATGTGCTGTATGGGATCATCTTAAATTTGACATCCTCATCTCTTCTAATTGCATGTACCCAGTGTGCTCGGAGTTGTCAGTGGGGAAATGATGAAAACAGAGGTATGGTTGGAATTGTTGATAAGCCGAACATAACTAAACTCTACAATGACATTAAGATGAAGAAAACTGGGCCTTGGGAGTTGTAATCACATTTTCCCAAACGTCTTCCTGGTTTGTGTCACAATGGAGCCTATTGGAAACAGCTGGAGCTGGAACACTTCCTGTTGGGAAATTGGCAGCTAGCAGATTTGCTATGGCCATTTCTAAATACATTAAATGGTTCAGACATATACCTCATCTGGATCTGGCACTTCCAGTTTGGTATCTGTAGGAGCTTTGACAACAATGACCGTCTGGTCCTTGAGACTTCCTATCTCCTTGATGTCTTGATATGTTACATATGCATATGTGGATTCAGGAGGTTAAAGAAAAATATTCAAAGAATTGAAAAGTTTGAGTTGTGTCACCAGCAATAAGATGTTCAACAGTCAGTAATATAGCCATTAACATAAGAACATACGCAAACAGCAAGTACCAAGCTGTAGATACTGAGACAGTGCTTGCTTATTCCACAAGTTTTGTTAATGGGTCTTATTTTTGTGTACTTTAAGATTACAAATACTGAGCCAAATCTGAACTCGTACATGAGTCTTCAGGGGTCTTGCGAGGGGTCCTGTTCTGTGATGATTCTTTGATATATAAATGTTCTTTACCCTACTCATGTCCAGTGTAAACATTTCAGCATGTGAGCATAAAAACAGCTGACCATTATAAAAAGGATATTTCTGGTTACTTGGCAATTCACTCATGTGTCTCATGTCCAGAGAGCACCTCTGGATCAGCTGTTCAAGTCTTTGTTCTTCTTCTGCTAGTGCAGAGACTTCTGCAGTCAGGATCTGTCTTTGGCTCAGTGCTCCTTCTACCTCCAGCAGGCTGCACCCCCTGTGTGAAAAAGACAGCAAGACTTAAAACTTGCTGAACAAACATCTTTAGCCAAACCTCAAACCTGACTTCTTTTAACATGAAGCACTACGAACTTACATCCACTGAATGTTATTTTTGGATTTCTTCTTGATGAGGTGAATACCCTCCAATACATTAGTGATGTCATACAGACGCCTTTTCTGGACCTGATAGTGAAAAAGGGGCATTTAGTAATTTATTGGCAACCAGAAAAAAGATTTGAGCAGTAATGTAAAATGGCTAAACTGCTTCATTCCTGTAAAGGGAATTTCACTGACCGCAGCATTACAGTCAATTAAGCAAAATTGCTACATTTCAACTAAAATTGTGCAGACTCCGTAAATAAAATCAATACCTGCAATGTTTCAGCAGCAATGTTAAGGTCCAGCACGCCATCGGAAGACTGAGCCAACAGATCTACAAACTTTTTTGTTAATAAGCCAAGGGATGTGTCATACCGCGTCTTCTCTGGTGGCGACTTTGGTGCTAAAATGAAAAATATGGAGTCACGCAAAGCCAAGACTCCAATATGATAATTGTTTGACCCATGTTTGCTCAATGGCCCACAAGTGAAACTGCAGTTTTATTTTTTGAGTAATTAATATGTGCCTAGAGCATAAACTATATTATTTTTATATTCATACAATGCAAACAAAAAAAGAGAAACGCAAATGAATACTGCACACCAAAGAGTAACATACTTCTGGGTGTCTTTAGGCCTGCTCCATTGGAGGCCGACGCTCCTCTGCCTCTTGGCGTTCTGACTACATCCGTCTGGTATTGGTGATCCGAGTCATCTAAGGCAAGTCGTCTTTTAGCCTTCAAAAAAACAATAAAATATCACAAGTGTTAGACACACATTTATGCTTTGAATACTCTAAAACTACTAAATAATTGAATTTAAAAAAACACTACTGCTCTAGGATCTTACCACTTAAAAAAACAAATTGACAGGCCCACATTTTTATCAAAAGCCCAATGGTATTATGCAGCATTTTAATACATGTCAACACACTGGTTTACCTACACCATAAACTATGCATTTGTATGTGGTTTCCAGCGCAGAAGATAAATGATATTGACAAAATAAACTGCGTTGAGAGTTTGGCCACTTTTAATAATGAACTTCAGACTTTAAATGTCAGTTTTAATCTGAGCCAATGCCTAGTTTATTTTCAACATCTGCAGTTGGTGGACGGATGAATACTGCACAGATTTGATAGATGTAACATAAACACAAATAAGCAGATATCAGAAAGCTATAATATGCCCTTTGACAGTCAAAATGTCAGCCATTTTATGTCTGCATGCAGCTCCCCTCACCCCATGCCTGGTCATGGCTTCAGCCCGAGATACTCAGACTGGTTTAGCTCATGAAAGATGAATAGCTTAGACTAAACCAACACCCTGAATGTCGGTTGGAGGATTTTGAGTTTTCTTTGTAACAGAAGTATACAGGAAACGTGCACATGCACTCGAGTACACTTTTACATGGATGCAACATAAGGTTGCACTTTATTAAATCACAAAATACAGTTTAGTGCAGGAAAATAAATCAGTGACTAGGTTAAAGCAGCGATGCTGTGATGTTCTTTGGTTATTGCCCCTAGCATTAAGAGCTAAACTAGGTTTCAAACTCCCATCTAAGATGGCTTGCATCTTCAAAGACGACAGAAATAAATGCGGCGATATTGAAGTTAGTTGGAGTAAAGGTCCTGTATCGAATAAAAGCATGGTTTGTGCACGTAACCTCGACTCTACGTGCATGAAAGCATAAAATGCACCAACTTATGGGCCAAGTAACAAACAATCCCCTGCCCCCCAAATTAAGACACCAAATAGCAGCCACTAGGCCAGCGCTAATGTTACTCATCTCTTAACCAGGGTTTCCATCTGCAAGGAAACACAAGAGCATCACAAAGTTAGCTATGCATGCTAGATTGACATTGGTGTGCTTCTCTCGTCTGGAACCCAAGTTAAAGCAAACATTTGTGCAGTAATTGTCATTGCACGTAGTAGAGCCATTTGTCTAACTTAGCCAGCGGTAGTTATTCAGCTAAGGTTGGGTCGATGCTAAGCGGCTAGCTGCGCGAACAACAAGCTGTTAGCCAAGCGGGCTAACATTTCGTTTTGTTTGTGGCTAACTATAGCACTGTAAAGCGTTGTATATTCTTTTTACCGGTGGTCTTCCGAGAGTAGGCCGTTGTCCTGTCCCGTTTGCAGCTTGTTGTGGAGTTGTATAGAGGTTGTTTATCTGAGGTTCGGATAAACACACATTTGATGTCTGTGTGCCGTTGCAAGGCGGTGGGGTCGTAATTATTTGAATATAAGTTGCATTTGATTGTCCAGGATTCAAACGATCCGCTAAAGTTGTTAAAATTATATTGTTGTCCAAATGAGAGCCCCCAACCCCCGCTAAAATCACTTTATCCGGAGCCGAGGAGATCCCTCTTCTCATCTTGCGTATTCGGGGTAACCTCTTTCTCGTCCCTGTACTTTTAAGACCGTATTTCTACTAATCCGTGGCGAAAATTAAAAAAATAATCAGACCAAAGTACACTTCAAAGTCTGATTTATCGACTACTGTAAAGTATTTTTTCCTATAAAAGTGCATTTAGGCAGATGCAGCGGATTAAAAAGTAGCGCAACTCTCGTTTCGCCCGTCTAGAAATGGCTTCAGGAAACGGCCTGATGAATGAAGGGATACGGTTTACGCGCTCAAGAGCCCTCCCGCGAAACTCAGATTTCCCGGGAAATTTTCAAACTAGATTTGCATATGAAGTGTGATTGGTCCTTCCCTGAGACGGACACGCCTACACTACTTCTATTCTGACCTATGAGCGCGCCATATTTTGGCCGCCACGTGTTCATTGGCTTTTGTAAATAGGCCGTGTCCGAGGCACGCCTTCGCTATTGCGAGACTTAACACGAGATGGCGCAAGTTACCAACTATTAGAACAAACAAGAGCTTGGAGCATCCTTGATAGCCTATATTGCAATCCATTTACTTTAAACACTCAAATAATTAAATGATAAGACCAAGATTTTGATTAAAATCATTCGTACATTGGACCGTGTTTACACTTGAATTAATCCGTAAAACAAAACCTATTTTAGAAAATAAAATGCGTGGTTCACTCGTGTTTCCCCACTCACTCTGCCGGTGTTTGTCCAGTGCCTCTCTTAAAAAGATCACATACAAATGAACCTGATCTTTTATATTAGTGAATAACCCCTACAATGTGTTATTTTACAATGAAAATCAGATAATGATTGTTGCCAAGACACAAGTAAAAACTCAATTAACCTGGAAAGCTATCCATGGGGTTTGGAATGATGCCACATTAGCATTGTTTCATAGCAATTAACAATATTTAAACTAAATAGCAGAGCCTATCTTTTGAATGCTGTTCTCAAAACCTATATATGAAACTGAAAACCATGAAAAGACTGCACCAATCAGGCTTGCAGATGTTATAACGCATAGACCAAATACATGTAATGCTATTCTATATTACGTGATCTCTATCTGTCTATGAAGCTTTATTATGCTGTCAATACGCTATTGTAATCTTTCATGACTACAACTCACCGGAAATGTGACTAACTTTCAAAATTAAACAGTGTGCTTTCTGTATTTTTTTGGGTTAAAATTCCAACAATTTTAGACCCACCGCGCCTTTTAATACTACTCAAGGGGTAGTCAATACAGAACTGACGAACGCAGACAATAAATATCTCCAGATTCAGTTATTACGTTTTATGACAACTTTTATTTTGGAATCAGGACTCGCTTAGAGTAGGAGAGTCACCCGCAGCGCAGCCGCAAGACAAACTGTGAACTGGTCAGAACCTCGCGAAAACCTCCCTGTCACATTATGTTTGTTGGAGGCAATTCAAGAAAGTAAGGAACATTTAAGAAGATAAACACCCGTGAAGTCAGGGCTGGAAGTCTTTTAAAAGTGAAGGATGGGCGAGCCGGTGGAGACAGCGTTTAAAAGCACGGGCGCACTGTGGCTGCTCCCACTGAGTGAATACCTGGGCTTCCCTGTGGATCAGGTAAGGTTATTGACGAAACCATCTGAAAACACACTGGTTGTATCTCTATATAACACCTGTCTATTGTACAAACGTGAAGTGAAACGCACATAGAGAATAAATTAGAACAATGTGGAAAGGATAGGCTTTGTTATTCATGACTATTATCTGTTGGGTTGTTGCTGTATCAACAATCACAGTTTAGTATAAGCCTAAAAGAAAAATACGGCCATGTTGCTTTGCTGTTGTTTCCTCAGTCTCTTGGCTTTGTTTGAGTGTCTCCTTTTTACTTAAATAATGTTTTTCATAATATCATAGAGTTGCTGACATTGTCTTTCACTGATATTATGGCTTATGATGTACACATAGGCCTATAATACCAGCAAGAGTCATTACACCCCCTCTCAATTATAAAAATATTTTACTGTGGCCTTATTCTAAATTGCATTTGTTGACACTGACATTCTGATCTACAGGTGAACTTCGTGATGAGTCAGCTATTTGCACTGGTTGCTGGCTTCTGGTTTCGTCTCTACCTCAGTCCCACTCACACCAACCCACTGATCAGACATGCAGTGGCTTCACTCTTTGGCATTGCTATCCTCATTTTCTGCTTCGGATGGTACAAAATTCTGCCAAGCCACACATGTCATATGATGCTAAATCTAATATGCACACCAGGGCATGCTATTGTTAAATACATAGGATTGTCCTGACCAAGTGCATTCTTAAGTTTAGGCGACCAGTGTGGAAAACAAGAACAATGTTATCTAATAAATAATGGGTGGAACAACGGGTGTGTTTGCTTTTGCAGGTATGCCTCTCACATGCTCACTGTAGTATTGGGAAGTTATTTGATTATCATAAAAAGTGATATCAACAATGTACACAGGTGAGTGGAAGGTGAAACATAACTTTATTTCATCCAACAGCTTTTATAACCTTGCTTCTTTATAAATAGCCAGCTCAGTGGTTTCTAAACTGTGGTGCATGTGCCATTGGTGAAACTTGAGCATGTTCTGGTTCAGCGCTGTTCAGTTCTAGTGTCTGATGAGATTTTATCCACATTTTTCTTGTGTTGTTCTTTCTTGAGCCTTCCAGTCATACGTGGAAAGCTTAAATATTTCTGGCTACTTGGTATTAAAAGTTTGAAAACAAATGCTTTATAATATTTAGTGTTGTTTTGAAAAACAATCTTGAGTGCAGTCTTGACTGAAATCTTGAGTGCGAGAGAAATAAAATGTAAAATAGTTTTTGATACTTGACATCGCATAACATCATGGTAAAAAATCTGGAAGAGACACTTGTAGCTCTTGCCTGAATGAAGTGGTGGAAAAACTTGTTTGACATGGTTTTCCAAAAAATTTCTACATCATAGGCGTGTATTTGGTAGGAGTGTATGTTATGTTGTTGTTTTTTCATGACCGGAGATGACTTCTTTGCTAGAAACCGGTAGAGTACAAGTATTTTTGCTTTATTATTGACAACATTGTGCCAGATTTGTGGTGAGAATGAATGAAAAGTGCAATGATGAAGACATACAAGTGTATTTGTTGGCTTATGTAGTAGTGGTCGTTTTAATGTTGGGCTTTAATGAGTTTAAGAGCTATACAAAAACAACAGGACCATTTCCATAGCAATTCAAAACTAAATTCTTTCTTTTGAAGTCCTGAAAATGGCACCCATAATAGGAAACATTCATTTTACTGAAGTCTTGATAGATATTAATTTCATGCAATATCAAATGTGTAATCCCTAACATATGAGTTTTTTTTCTTGCAGGTATACAATGGTGTGGGCTATAGGCTACCTCATATTGTGCCAAGTGATACGTGTCTGTATTTTTAACTATGGAATTCTCTCAACAGACTTTTCTGGGTAAGAGTAATCCTATCTTTCTCATTTCACCAGTTTTCCTCACTCCCATTGCCACACCTTATAATGAGTATCATGACTCATTCTGTTTTTTTACTGTTCATTGGTTGAGTATATGCTCTCCTGCTTACTTAGTCACCTTTAGCCACAACATTGTACAAATACCACACCAGTCAATAGAAAGCCGCATTGTTCATCAAGTGTAACCAGGTAGGCTACTCCTTGACCTCTAGGCTTTTAGGGGAGTTGTTGAACCTCTTTTAAATGAGAACTTTTTATTGTTATTGCATCCCTGTGGCACTATGAGGCATTGATGATATCGTCATATTATGATTCTGTGATTCTCTAACATACCTCAATGCGCAAATACGACCACTTTTCATTCCTGCTGTTGTTCAGCCTCTGCCATGCCCTGCTTGTATTTTTCTTGGATTTAGCCAATCACAGTGACATGTGAACTTTTAGAGATAGCAGATAGCTTTTATAGCTTTTGTCTATTGAAGTTAATCAAAATCATAATCAGATTCCTAGAAAAGCGTGTATATGCCTACCCTAGTGTCTTTTACATTTGTTGTCACTATTAAATCAGATAATTGCAGGCCATCCCCCATTTCCACCATTTACTTGCACAATTTTCTCATGACTGATGACTAATCAGTGAATCAACTTTTCAAAAGTTACACAGTTTTCATTATACAGGAAGAGACATTTTAACCACTCTTCCCCTCAACTGTTCTTACTTTAGTTTAGTGAATAAACCCTTAATTTAAATTCAAAACTGTAATTGTAATATGTGCCTAACTTAGCAATAAAAGCACAAGAACCCGGGGCTGCAGTGGTAGCACCCTGGCTTGCACTTTGTTTCAGTAAATCTGTGCCAACTCTCATTGAGCTGCTTCTGCTTTGCCATGCAGTGCACACAATGCAGTTCAGTCAAACCAGACCCAGCATGCGCATAGCCACAGACACATACTGTTTGTGCACCGCATTCTTGTGACAGAGCAGCTCTATCTGGTGGCTGTAAAAGCCTTTAGTTATACCATATATATATATATATATATGCAACATGTCTTCAGGTTATGCTGGCTTGATCACAAATGCGAGAGACACGAGGTTCACGAGGTTAACAAGGACACATATTGTCAACTGTTACACAGGTTTCTATCAACTGGGGAACAACACATTGTTAATATGTCTCTGTCTTTCCTGCCTAGGCCTCTGATGGTAGTTACCCAAAAGCTTACCTCTCTAGCATTTCAACTCCATGATGGTAAGTTATTGTTAATACACATTCAAAATAGCATTTGGTGCAGTTTGAAAAATGAAGAGCCGACAGAGATCTTCCATATTGCAAAAGTAGTGGGCAGAATCTGTTCATTTCATCAAATCAACTTTCATTTTAATTTTGACCCTCAGTAATCAGACCCCATGCACTCTATTCCCTGTTCTCTCAATTATAGATAAAAAGTTTGTTAATCATATGATTCATTTGGTAAACAAGCTTCTTCTGATAGTCCCACAACCAAGCAAATCAGCGCAAACACTAAGCTGTGAAGGTGAAGAAACTGCCAAACTCTACAGAGCTGAGAAAGGCTAATTATCACCGCCCTTCAGTCTTCTGGTCTTTCCGGCAGTGTGGCAAGAAGAAAATGTGCAAAACACAAACATGCATTTAAGACATGGGCAAACTAGTTTCTGTCAAGCCTCTCTACTGGAAAGACTAGACTGACAGAAGGCTGCAGTAGTGGTTGTCTTTCTATTATTTTGATCATCTCCACACAATAGCCAATCCCCCAGTCAACCACTTAACTACAGTATTTTGGTTCTGAATGTTTCTTTGTGCAGAATGTGCACATCGGATTAATGGGTTGCTTGGTTGATCCAAATGTTTCAGAACAACAGTGAATCGTTGAAGGCAACAGATTTTTGATTATTTTGTTGAGTCTAATGATTATCTTTAAGTTGTTTGTCTGTAAGTGTACTTAATTGATCAATTGTGACTGCTTTTGACCCATCCTTCAACCAGGCCTGCTGGGGGACAACCTGTTAGGGGCAGTGAGCCACTGTAGTACAGCGCTCTGGGACCCATCTCCAGATCTTGATCTTGGCTATACTAGGATTACCCAGTGGGAAAATTGTGCATACTTTGAGCTTCTGGACTGTTATCTAGGCTAAATCTTAGATGGCTATGAAATCATCCATCACTTAATTTCAGAATCTTTTCAGTTGCCAACTGTGTAGTGCATCCTGTTTTTCAGGTATGTGTAAGAAGCCAGACAAACTAAACCCAGAACAGAAGCTCCTGGCATTAAAGTAAGACTCAGTTCTTTTCACTGCATGATAAATGTCATAGTAAGACACTTCTTCTCTTATGTAAATCTGTATTCTGAGTTCAGATCATTAATGAAGTATAACTTTTAATGAAATACCTGTGTAGTGTTATTGTTGCGGATGAGATTGTGGATGATATTCTACCAAAAAGGCTGCTTCATAAGGTTTTAAAATTGGCAGTAAATAACCTTTCTTTTCCCCTAGCCAAGATGGACACACGTATGGAGATGTCCCTATGGTGAATTCATTCTTGTCAACACTATTTGCATGAAAATGCATGAAAACTATTGGCTGCCTGCCCATTAAAAATTGTTACTATTGTGTTCCATATCATGCATACTGTATGTTGCCAGTTAAGTGGTTTTGTGCCCCCTCTAGGGAACAATGCACTTCCAGAAACTGATCATTCAATATGATTCACAATATTAAGTTTACAATACAAATACACACAGTTCAGTTTTAATGTATTTATATTTTTGGTTCCTCTATAAAATGTTCACATGTTTTTGGTGAGCACATTCATATTTACTAACACGGCATGTGGGAAAGGTTTGTCTTTTATATTTTCCTAAGTTCTTTTTTTCACTCCACAGCCAAAGACCATCTTTAATTGAATACCTGAGTTATAACCTTAACTTCCTGAGTGTATTGGTGGGACCATGCAGTGACTATAAGGACTATATAGACTTCATAGAAGGTCGACATATCCTCAACAGGCTACAATCAGGAACATGCAATGGGCATAATGGATATAAGAAGCAAGTAGAGCCATCACCACTGGTAAGGCCTTTAAAACTCTGCATCACTTTTTATTTGTTAAAAGGTAATAACTCTATATTTCATTGCCTGACAGAGGGCTGTGTGTGAGAAACTGCTCATTTGCAGTGGCTGTATGTTATTTTTTGTCATTGTGACGCGGTCTCTGCCAGTAACATACAACGTGGATCCATACTTTTTAGCCAATGCCTCCTTCGTGACAAGGCTTATCTATGCATTTTTCTCCGTACAAGCTTCTCGGCCTAAATTCTACTTTGCTTGGACTCTTGGTGAGTACTTTAAATAGCGTTCTTTAAATTCTTATAGCTGTCATTTCTTGCATTTGCTGAGAGCAGGAGTTTTCTCTTGGCAGCTGATGCAGTCAACAACGCAGCGGGCTATGGCTTCTCAGGAATGGATGAGAATGGAAGGCCATCTTGGGATCTTCTCTGCAATGTAAACATCTTGGGAATTGAGGTGCATTTTGCAAGTTGATATATTTTGAGTCCAAAAATAGAGCAATATTTAACTGACAAAACTCGTTGTGAACGTTTTGCAGACAGCAACAAGCTATAAGACATTCATAGACAACTGGAATATTCGCACCGGGATTTGGCTCAAAATGTGTGTATTATCTGCGAAAAAAACCCCCCAAAAAAACATTTGCTGGTGTGAGTCTTTTTATCTCTCTCTTATCTGTCTCTTCAGGGTGTGCTATGATCGAGCTCCTCGATACAGGCTGCCTTTGACTTTTGTTCTGTCTGCAATTTGGCATGGCCTCTATCCAGGATACTACTTCACGTTCCTCACTGGTATTCCCATTACCATTGCAGCTCGAGCTGTAAGTACGAAAGGAGAGAGAAAATTACTTTTTTTTGTGCTGACAGTAATCTACGACTTTTTTTACCCTTCATTATGCTTGGCAATAATAAACTATGCAATTTTCACAAATGTTTCAATTATTACCTTCACTAGATAAGGAAGTCAATTCGGCACTATTTCCTGGGATCCAAAATCATTAAGTTTGGGTACGACATAGTGACTTGGGCTGCGACACAGTTTGCCATTTGTTACACTGTCATGCCCTTTTTGCTTCTAGCAGTTGAGCCTACAGTGATTTATTACAGGTAAAATGTTTTATATACTTTATCTAATGCTACATGTCTCATCTGCCAGGAAATAAAAATACTTGTTTCTATGTCTAGATCTATGTACTTCCATGTACACATACTCAGCATTTTGATAGCTGCTGTCCTGCATCGGAAACACAAACCCAGGGACCCCTCTGCCTTGAACAAACCCACCCCCATTTCCTCAGAGAACTCACCAGCTCACTGCAACAACAATGGAGCCCATAAAATCAAATAAATACAGGTATTTGCATTATCATGTACTGCTCTCGGCTTCCTCAGTGTTCTACCAAAGTGCCTGATCTGAAACTGGAAAACTATCTTATTTATTTTTTGGGGACAAAGAATGGACAAGAACCTTCTGCAGTTGTAAAATGTCTGTCATGTTTGACACAGCAGCAGATAAGACTGTGCTCTAGTCGAAGGCCTGCACATCCACCTCAAATGGATTGTTTATTTATATGTTTATAACTTATATTTGTCTCTATATGTCTTCCATTGTTGACATTTACTACTTTTAGAAACTAGTACGTCCATATTCACAATGCATTTATTGTGCTGAAGTTCTTTAAAGCTAGGAAAAGAGCCTCTTCCAATTGACTGACCACAGTTGAATTATTTGACCAGTTCCCATTGGAAAATCTTCAGAGAATAAGTCACAGTCTTGTTTGTTTAGTATTGCAAAATAAACATAGTATTAATTGACGATTGTGCATCCTACTGATCTTATATCGTTTTGAGTATTTATAAATGGCTTATTTACTAACATTAACATTTTATTTATTCCAAAGTGTTACTAGGATGTTTTGTTATACTGTGCAAAAACATTTGTTAGGTGGCATATTTACTTTACACTTAAAAAAAAAGACAAATAATGCCATAACTGTGTAAACACACTGGTGGCCCATGGTGTTGTTTTGTTTGTTGTTGTCGTCCAAAACAAAATCATTGTCATTGTTTTACACTGGAGGTGTTTCCTCTCTGGAAAGAAAATTTTGGTTCAGCACCTGAGATCAAACTGAGCCATCTACTGGTGGGTTGAGCCATGATTCATATGATAAAAAAAAAACTAATCTTGTAGTAATGACGAAGTTTCTACTCTATTGCCTTACTCCAATGTATGAGGTGTTACTTTTACTGAATACAGAATACATTACATTCATTTGTGATTTGAAATAATATATGTCATATTTTAAATCCATATTTGGTCATGCATTACTCCTTACTAGCTTTGATCTTGTACTAATCTGCCAATGTGCAGGAGATATTAAGACCAGTATGATGTTAACAAGTAAATAGATTGCATTGTTGTTTGAATATATTATTTGCATTGTCATATATGATCTTATTGCCTGAAAACTCTTAGTGAATATCAAATTTTCTATGGTATGTAGTGGTGATATTAAGATATTGTCAGTATAATTTGATAATATCACTTTCTGCACTGAACGTTAAATGCTTTTTGGTCTTTAACACTGTTTAAAAAACTGGAAAAGCTTTCAGGTTTACTGTGACTATTTTATTTCCACTGTAATTGACAAATTCAAATAAGAATGTTTATTTATACAAGGAGCCATTTACATGATACATATTTATGTTGAGCTGCTATTAACATATGTGTCTTAAATACTGTTCATTTTTAGTATTGCATATGGTTAAAGTGTGTGATATTTAACAAGATAAATAAAAAGCTCTAATCTGTATAGTCTGTGTTTATTCTGCCGCACACATTGGCTACAGTGTGCCCCTTGTGTTCAACTGTCCCCTGACACTAGTAATGCTTTACCTCCGAGTATAGTAGATATGTTCAGCTAATGACACCAGCGGGAGAGAAAATAGACAAAAATAATGAACAACAAAATACTGATGATACATAACAGGATACATGTAAGTTCATATAACTCCAAAACAAAGACCATTACAAACCTGCTGCCATGCTAGTGTAATGGTGCATACATACTTTGCACTACTGCTGATCTGAACACTTATCTGGATGCTGCAACATAACTGAACATTTTCTTTGCTCCTTACGTCTCTATCTTGTAAATTTCATTAAAAATAAAACACAGAATGCAAAAACATACTAATGCCTGCATAAGCATTTTGAACTTTACAGAATATTTATAATGATGATTTTAAGCATTATTCACAAACATGTGCTTAAGACAATGATCTGCAGCAGACTTGATTTTATTATGACAAAGTAAACATGTACAATAAGATTTGTATTAGTGCATGCACAATGGTCAAGCATTCAGACTGAAATGCTAACTACATAAATAAAGACTTCTTTTCTCTTTTGTCCATATCTTTGTATTTGTCTATGTAATAAATAAGCAGAACAATCTTATCTTGTACAAGTTAAGTCTCAAGTTTACCATTTCTTTATATGGAGTACTTGGCATCAGAAGCTGCAATACATAAAAACAGGTAATGTGTGCTAAAATATCAAAGTTAATGAATGATTTAGTACATGTTACACATTTATTTTGCTCAGCGCCAATTCCATACACAAGTGGATGGTCTCCCTGAAACATTAGTCTAAATGTCTTTTGTTAAATTTAGGTGTGCGTACAAAAATGAAATGTTATGAAAATTGAGAATTTGAGTAATCTGGATTATGAGAAAATGCAAAAATCAACTAACACAAGAACATGAAGCAAGAAAATGTCTAATAAATGAGCAGATGCTGTCTTCTTTAGTGACTGCTTCTCTTTCTAACATTCTTATAAAGACAAAATTTAAAAGTGATGTGTGCTAGTAGATGGCAGCTCCCAAACAGAGTGATAGGGATTTGAAGTCTGTCAGTTTAGATTTTAGCCAGTGGAGGGCAGCATAGAAATAACGTAGGGAGGTGGGTGATGTGCTTGGCAACATAGTACATAGCAACAGCCTTTTCTCAGAGGAAGACCTGAAAAGCCGTGTCCAAATCAGGTCCAACTAGTCAGAAAATAAAATAGATATTTTGAGGGGGAGAGGGTTAGTGTAAGAAGCATTACTAAAAGCTGCAATAGAAAATATTACTGTGGAAGTCAAATATATTTATTGTTTGAAACTGGGAAGAATAAGTTTGTAACAAGCTTGAGCTGATTCTGTACTTGGTTTGCAGCTCACAGTCCTTCCTTTCAGCTACAATTTCTTTGCACATGTTGAGGTACTTAAGTGATTCTCTTCACCTTATTTCACACATTTACATATGAGGCATGTGCTGTTTCTGCCTAATATGTACATTGTGAGTGCAGTTTATAAAATTACATAAAAATACAGTTTATGTTTCAAATGGACGAAACAAGATTCTTACAGAGGACCAATTTCAGCTCAAAATAAACAACCATGCTTAAGAAATCGGATATCTGACATTGCACCTTCACATGCACTGCTGTCTTAGCTTATAACTGCAACCACATAGGAAGTTCTTGTTTTAACACTGCTGAACAAAGCCCTATTTAAACTATGACAAAAACACTAAATCCCAACACAAGATGCCTTAAGATGCTTAATAATATATATTTTTTTGTCAAACAGTAATTTAAACTAGGTCCTTCTTGTTTATTTGTATGCGGAATGCGGAATCATGCTTGTTCCTTTTTAGGACAGATGAAGCAAAGGCAAATGGAGTGTGTCATTTTGTCTTCTTAAAATAAGTAAAATTTTGTCGTATCAGTCAAAATTAGAGGTTAGTTTACAGCAGCAGCAGTTCGCCATTTTGAAGGGCTTTCAGTCTCCTTCAAGTGACATCCAGGTCCCTGTGCTTAAAATCCTACAATCAAATAAACTATGATCAATTTCAGAATATCTTTTAATTCGTTTTCATTCACCTCTGACGTGATTGGGTATGGTCCCCACATAGTCCGCCCAACAAGGCCATTCTGTATATAGTCTTTTTCAACAGCAAATTGATAGCTTCAGTTTTTGCTGCTTTCTGTGGCCTCAGCAGGCTGTGTTTTCTCATTAGTGTCTGTCTTCCCATCCTTCTTCTCATCTTTGTCGTCATCTTTAAAGAACAAAAGTGGAAACATGCCGAGGATACACCCAATGCCAACGCCAATCGCTTTACCCTGCACAGATAAAAATACATACTAGTAAATACAGAGAAAGTTTAAACAAGATCTCTAAAACAAAAAGTTATTTCTTTATCTGTCATAGTTTTATAGTGGATGCCCTTCTAGCTGCAACATTTATTGGAGCTTGGGACCAGTACAAAGGCCACACTAGACTGTGCTTCCATATATATATATATATATATAATTGGTTTTAACCAGAAAATCGTCACCTCAATAACTGGCAGAATATCCCCCTAAGACTTATTGACTTCACTTTGTTTATAGCCATTTCCTCTATATGTCAATGGTTAAGATAAACAAATTACCAAAACGTGACCTTTTACTACCAGCCAAGAGCAAAATTACTGACAGACTAATCGCTAAAGCTAATTAAGCTAATTAGATTTCACACTGCTCTCACTTCTTCACACATATACCAGTGCAGCAAGAGCACATCAGCTGTCTCTCAGTTGGCAAATATGTGACACGTCTGACCGTGGCCTTTTACTCAGATTAAAAGGGCTCCTCTCGATTACAGACGAACATGCACATAAGCTAATAAGGACAACAAGCACTCCCTTTCCAGAATAATAATGCGAGTACTGATTTCGAAAACTTTGTAACTATCTGAACTAACTATTTTGTTAAACTTCGTAATTATTTGAAGATTTCACCAAATTGCATTTAATTCAGAATAATATCAAGCAATGAAACACAAATGGTCATGTGAACTATTTTAATTTGTAAATTTGCTTCACTTGATAGATATTCTTATGATTTAAATCTATTTTTAAAATACGTTGTTTTGTTTTTATTCTAAATAACATATAATTTGTTCATTTTCATTCATTCATTTAATAATTTTAAATACAAAACTATCAAATGGAATGTCAATACACTAGTAAGAAGATTACTATTATTGCACAGAAATTATTAGGCTCCCAGTGATGCCTGTGTGTGATGAAAATGCAATTGTCCAATCAACTTGAATTCATGTTGCAAAATTTATGATCTGAGTTAAAATATGTAAAAAAATGCACCATGTTTTATTAATCAAAAAAGTTTTAGTGTTGACAGAGGGCAGGCACGGACACTGTGGTCCTTTGTACTGACCGTGTGGGAGCTGACCCTGGTCTGCCACATGTCCGCCTGTTTGGGGCTCAGGTCTGGAATCTGCATCCCCAACCGAGACGCCAAGGCTTCCACGTAACCTGCCAACCTAAAAGAGAGACAAGAGTGAATATAAACCACAAGAGTCAAAACATAGGTGTCTTCTTTCTCCCATCAAATGTCAATCTATTAAGAGCAGTGCATTAAACCCATAATGATGAAACAAACAAATAAATCTTGTAATGAATCTGCTCTTTCCACTTCATGTTGCCACCATCTGTCACAACACAGCAGGGGTTAGACCTCCACACTGTGACAACCATCTTTATTATCAGACATGAACTTAATCATGCTGTTTCAAGAAGATAAAATGGTGGAAACGAGTGCACGCTGTGTGAAAATATGTCGCTAAACCTATTCATCTTCAGCATGTATCATTTGGGATTCAGGCCATAAAAGCTCTTGTTTGATCTGTGTTTTACATTTGCTGATAAAAATACATGCCAGGTACCACCTATCTGCTATTTAGATGTGTAAAGGATTTGATTTTTTGGGATGTTCCCTTTCACTAAATTCATAAATCTGCTCTTTATTCTTCCTCCAAGCTTAGGAGCATCTTAACATGTTCACTGTTTCTCCTCTACACATATTCACACCATCTCAGTCTGTCTTCTCTGTCCTTATCTCACACAGGTTCACACATTAACTAATGCTGTCAGGAACAAAGAGCTTAAACATTATCAGCTCTGTCCCTTTTTGTCCCTCGTAACCAGATTTGGGTTGTACTTAGGTATAAGAATCACAAACAATGTCACACCATAAAAAATCTATCCAAATTCAAATCTGTGAGACTAAAAAAATGTAAAAAATAAGTACAATTTATCCCAGTGCTCAGTGTAAGTGGTTTAGTCTCAAATAAGTTTTGAAAAGTCAGCCTGACTCTAAAGCTTTAGCAAATACTAAGCACATATAGCTTCTTATATTGTAATTAGAAAACTCTACATAGTTATCCCAGCATCTGCCATGTTGTTTTTGTATTCAAGAGTTAGAGTAATTTGGAAATTCACAGCAGTGCCCAGTGTTTTGACCAAGCAGAAGTTCAGAGAGTGGCACTAATAGACCCCCACTAAAATGTGTCTCAGCTGGAAGTGGAGTCAAGGGAGCGAGTAGTTAAAGCAGCAGAACTACTCTTTAAATTCAGAAGTATAGCAGAGAAGACAGGATATCGCTTCCAATTTGATCACCAATTACAGCTACGCAGCTAAACACAAACTCATTAACATTGATTCAGCATTACATAAAATGTGGCTGCCAACTTTAGTCATAATATTTTACACTTGCAGTGGAGACAGAGAAAGAATGAAACTAGGTCAGCACTCGAAAATAAATACTCCAAAATTCAAAAGCAAGAAATGATGAAATTTACTGCAACAAGAATCACTGTAAGCCATCATTCACAGCTCCATCGAGTGTGACAAGGGCGAGAGAAAGATTATGGAGTTATTTTTATAGCACAAACAATGTGATTCACAGAAACATCATAACTATGGACAATCTATTTGTTTAGAGACTGAAAATGTATGTAAATAGATGCGTTCTGCGAGTTGAAATGTCACAGTGGATTTGACAGTAGCATTATACAACACACACCTGCGACTGCCACAGAACGGACTGAAATGGATTTCGGCCAGAAACAGGTCTAATGTGTCATGCCATATTTTAGACTGGAGGAACAGACCAGACAGAGACATAAGACAACAAGACAAACACATTAAAGCCTTCCTATCTCCATAGAAATGTTTTTGCTTTGGTTGAAATAATCCACAGTATGGCATTAAACATCTATCCAGCATTTAATTAAGTACATGTGCTTTTACTGCAAAAACAATACCTAGAAAAACATGCCATCATACTGTTGAGTGAGGTTGTCTCTCCACAGATCTGGTATGTAACTTGGCCTGGTGTGGTTCTGCTGCCACCTGCTTGTCCATGGAGGCACCATACCGGGAAAACATATAGGCAAACTACCAACATCTCCACGGAGACAAGCCCATGATGCACCCTACATCAGAAAAGTGGACCACAGGGCACACATACCGTAGTCATCTAATTATATTCAAATATTTGTGTCTATTTATTTGATGATTGGGCTGAGTAATTAATTGCAATGTTTCATGTTTGGTGCATAGTGCTAATTTTAAATTAATCCAGGAAGACCAACAAACCATCAAAATAGCTAAACATATATAAGATGCCTGTGCATTTCAGAGGATATTAGTAGAAGTTCAAACTAAGAAACATCAGGATAAATAGTTGTTTGTAGAGGATAAAATACCTAAACAATCAGCAGTAAACGCAACCATTCAAATCGTAATTTAGGTTTGATTGTTATTTATCTTGCAGCTTTAGTTCCCAGTATAGCATTTCATCTTAGTGTAGCTGAAAAAAAAAACACAGACCATTTTTCTCAAAGAGCTGTATAGACTAATCAAGGCGTTGAACACTTAAGAATGAATCATCAGCTCTCAGCGACAGGCTTCAGACTGTTTACATCATTAATCAAATCCAAGATGGAAAAGCATGGCTCCCACACACCCAGACCGCTTTCGAGTGGAAACATCATATAGTAAATTAGTAATAGGCTATATATCGCAGGTCAGTCCAGCTTTGAGGACGGTGGTGGGAGGATTTACAATCACTACAGCACTGACCAATGTGGTGTTAACGTGTGTTGCATTGACAGCTGAATCAATCCAATTACTTGGAGTAAGTCACCCTGATATATACTATGGGAAAAGGGTGTGTGTGATAGCAGTTGGGAAGGTTGGGCCATTGTATATAACATGCACTTACTCTAGTTTGTAGTACTGTACTGTATAAAAATAGATTAAGGTTAAGGTCAAGTTTGTTCCAATGAAAGCATGCACGTACAGTATGAACATTGGACTGATTAATTAACTGATTAAAAAAACTACTTCTTTGACATAATTGTTATTACATCTCTATGCATTACCCAGTTTATTGTCAATTTATCATCATCAAGAATATAGTTATTGGTGATTATATTTTGTCTACACACAATCAGAATAATAATATACCAGCCATTACAATGTAAATCTAGAAGAAAAAAAATAAGTGGAGTGTGACCTTTCACAAGAGGAATAAAGTTATAATGAGGTACTTTTGTGTGGTACTTGAACCTCAACTTGTACGCATATAACATAGCCCTGTGCCCTTATTCAAATAAACAAATAAATACACTACCAGTCAAAAGTTTCAACACAGTATTTCATTTATGGTTCTTCTTTATTTCCATGATTATTCGCATTATAGATTTTTACTGAAAGCATCAAAACCCCAAACTGGTTTTATTTTTTTAAAATAGTCTGTTGCTTTGCACTTTTAGCATGGCTTGACCTTGACATGGCACAACAGTGAAATCAAAACCAATCCATGAGAATTCATCAAGAAAATCATTGAGAGAAGGTCAGGGGTTTGCAGCACTGTCAAAAAGCAAAGGGTGGCTATTTTGAGCATAAATCTTTTTTTTTTTTTGCTACATTATGTGTCCTGCTACATATGTTCTGCTTCATATATTTTATGTTTTCTGTAGATATAAAACGTAGTAAACTTTTCAGTTGTAGTGTACATACATAGATAAAAATCAGTTTCACATAAAAACACCAATATAAACGAAACAGTCAATTAATCTAAAACTGCAAATTTAATTCATGCATTTGAGATTGAAGCAGCCAGCCAGGTGAAGCAAATGGTTTACCCACAAATCACTTTGAGGAATACTGTGGATGTTTATCTGAGTCTGAATCGCTCAGCACCGCTCACTGCCTCGGGGTAATGAGACTAGAGCTTAAAGGCATTCCCTTTGAAATGACATAAACCATAATGCATATACTGTGGTGGAGGTCGCTTATAGCCTGCAGAGGCTATTCAGCCTTCACATTCTCACCAGTATATCTATCAAAATCCATAACGTCATGCCTTCTCTGGTCTAATCATGCTTCACCTTGACACTCCGGCCACCAGGGGTCTACTTTCCCAATTATAAATGAGAGGCACACAGAGGCTGGAGAAAGGGCACAAAATGACCCATCCATCACACTCAAAGCGTGAAACCCTTTTCCCCAGCAAATTTATCTGTCACTCTGCCTAATTATGAACTTTCTATGCTAATATTGAGCTAATTACATGATTATTATTTGACTTGAGGGTGTTTAGAGGGCCGATTTTGGTCCCTGTGGCTGTGAAGCAGATAATGGACTTCAATGAGCCGATTAGTCTAACGCGAGTGGCAAACTTCTCCAATGAGACCAGTATTTATGCTTTATTATGCAGCAGAAAGACTCACATTACCTTCGTGATGCTTCGTTTCTGTTTCTGGTTTGAATAAGCCAATAGCAAAGATGAAAGAACATTTTATGAATCATGGTTCACAATAATGAATCTCCAGTCTGGAGATGTTGGTTTCATATTATGAAAGTGTAATTTTAGCCTCTCTGCAATATATTGATTTAGAGAAGACTACATAACAATGAGACTATAATGGCCACAGTGTCTGACATTATTGAAAAAATTTAGAACAATGAAAATGCATCTTAATAAATAAAATATTATATTAATATTTGAGATTGTCTGTAGTGACAGTGGTCTTCTGCCTGTGTATATTCTATTCTACTGGTCAGTGTCTAAGCTGTACCTAATAACACTCAAAAAGGATAGGATGTGAGTTATAAACAAATGACTTAATGATTCTGGTCATTTTAATTAGGACAGGGCAAAAAGGACAGCATTTTTTTATTACAATATAAAAGATACAATTTGCCATGATATAACTAACTTGTGGCTTTTTAAATATTTGTGTTTACTTGTTTTAGGCTATTTAAGTTATAGTTATATGTTCTGCTTCCATTTCTCATGCCTTTATCTATTTCATTGTTTGAGTTTTAAGCCTCTGCAGTGCCTCCACACTCAATGTTTAAGATGCTCTAAGCTTAGTAGCAATTAGCCATGATCTCTGTCTGCCTTTCCTCGCATGGAGTGCATGGAGTGCATGTCCATTTATATCACCATATACTTCTGATCATCCCCATTTGCATCAGAATATATTGCCATATGGCCCAATACTAATCTTAATAATAAGCCTGTCTTAATAATAACTAACTAAGATGTACAACTCGCTTAATAGTGAAAATAAATATACTTTGTACTTAATGAGCATAAATCTGATTTTGCTCTCCATCATCTGAATCTCAATCTACTTTGTGCCCAGACCTGCTTAATATGCGTTTTTAACCTTTCCAGCTCTCTCCTCTGAGGCGCCGTCACTCTGTTCAAATGAGTGCTGCTGGCTGCAGCGTTGGAGCTCCCATTGGTCAGTGTCTGCTTTAATCTGTACTGTTGACATGGCTGTTTGGGTGAGTGAGCTTACCCCAGTCCTGCCAGGTCCGACACCAGGTTGCCAAGGGCAGCAGCTGTGGAGAAGGAGCAGAGATGATTACAAATGAGGTTCAGGTCGGGTACAGCCAAAAATCTGAAATCTGATGTGTCTCATAGGGGAAGGTAATGCCATTTTAATAACATTCTGGCATGTTCAGCGAATGATTCAAATTAAAAGGGTTGCTGTTTATGAGTAAAGCTGATATGAAAACAGACCTGTAACCTGTAAACCCAAATGTCTTTGACAAAATATATAATATTATTTCTTATTAATATATACAAAATAATGAAAAACAATATATGTGATTGTTTTAGTAAATGTTTACCAAATAACTTGCAATAAAAGCCAAGGACAGACCATTAACTGATTTGACTCTGGGTGCTGATAGATATTAAAAAGCAAATCAAAACAAAAAATACATTCATTTTGGTTCATTCCTCACAAAATTCACTGAAATTACTAATTGCAGAATCTTGCACAAAGACAAAACACAAAGACAGGAAGTTGTGCCTGACTAAACAGGAACCTCCCGTATAGAAGAGTACTGGGAAATCACTACATTTAAGCCCCCATTAAATCGCTATTGATGTCTTTTGTGTATTGTGTTCCTTGTGTTGTCACTGACACTGAGGTTAGTGGTCTGTCTCAGCTGCTGAAGCCACACAACTGTACCCAAGGGAACAGAAAGCAACTGCTCTGCCATCTCCACTAAAGCTCCCATTCTCCACTCTGAGTACAATGATTTGGCCACAGCACTATCCCCCTAAAGGAGATGCATTATTCACATGATTCACTGCAGGGATTACCAAATATGCATTCATCCATCTTCAAAATGGACCACCATACCTGCACCAGAAGAGCCACAGACTGTCTACTCATATGTGCAGAGATAGGAAAGAGTGCTGTTTAGACTGCATCAAGACAGGTGGAGGGTAGCCTATTCATGGGTTTCAGAGAGATTAAAATTTAGCACAGTTGTCAAAGCAATAAACTAAATATTCTATCTTGGAATGGTCAAAAGTCCTCAAAATGTCACCTTAAAACAAGAAGCTTCCCATGAATAGTGAAAATGCAAATGTAATGATTTAAACAGCAGAATAAAAGTCACAAAATAACATGAAAATCTTATCTGGTTTTATCAACAGCAGCAAAATTGGAATGAGAAATTAAAGGTGAAGAATTTCAAACACTTTTTTCTGGCATTTAAATAAAGTCTAGCCGTCTGTCACTGTTCCGCTGTGTTGTCTTGGGAAATAAATAGAAAGTCCTCAATTCTCGTGCCAATAGCAAATCTGCCCAGTGCTGAGATGAAATTCAAAAAGCAGCTTTTTGCTTGGTTCAGCAGCATCAGTGAACATCCAAACATGGGCAATCTCATCTAATGGATAAAATGGTGGAAGAGATTACCTCAGGCACTAAAATAGAAAACATTTTGAAAACGGTTATTTTGGGAGTTAGATTCTACATTTTAAGTCTTCTGAATATTGCATGCAGGTTAGTTGGATTTGTCTCACTGTCAGTCTTGCTTCAAACTCGTGTAACTTACAGACGTGACAATGTAATGGAGGAAGCCATCAGTCTTAATTAGGCACTGTGACTTCTCAAATGTAATTATGAGAGAAGGTCAGTGGTCGGTCTTTAAGTCTTTAAAGCTCTTTGTTCATTTCTCAAAGGCAAAGGTCGGACACCTCAGATGAGTACAGACAACTGTCATACCTCAGTACACCGGAAGAAAGGCTTCTACTCTGTTCAACTAAAGAATTTCATTATCGGACAAAAAGAAAATCATGACAATTCAAAGCTCCTAGCATCAAAAAGACATCCATGAATCAGGCAGGGGGTTGTGACTACAGTGCATTTCAAGCATTTCATCTCTTCATCATGGTGTTGGCACCTGTTTGTAGGTGGCATATATTAGGCAGCAAATGGGTGTTTTGTCCCCAAGGTCGACAGAAGAAAAATGAGGAGTGAGACGAAGCACAGATTTGGGGCACATATTGAAGGAAAATGAGGAAAAAGAATGGGGATTTGGTAAAGTGCAACAAATGAGTGACTTTACCCCAATTAGCAGAAGAGATAGGGTTGGCTCAAGCGTTTGCACTGTCATATGACTGCTTGGGTATGATGAAGCGTGGCTCAGTGGGCAGAGTTTAGACTTAGACAAACTTTACTGACCCATAAATGAAATTATATGGACATAGTAGATCACACGTCACAATATATTATAATAACAAAAAGCAAATATAAATGGTAATAATACATTCAAAATAAGTAACAAAAAGAGCAAGAGACTGGTTGTCAAATAAGGCATAATTTTTGTTTTTGTTTGCCTACTAACCCGAAGGCCAGTGGTTTGAACCGATACTGTTGTTCTGTCATCAGGCAAGACACTTCTTTTTTCCTATTAATGTGAAGCGTACTGCTGAGTATTGGTTGGAGGGAGCCAAAAGTGCAAATTGACAGTCTTGCTTCAGCAGCAGTCTAGCCCAAAGCAGCTGTGGTTAGAAGTAGCCACCATTGCTACAGGTCGTGCAGATTGAATGAATAATGACTTCAGTGAAGCACTCTGAGAGGCTTGTCTATATCTTGTCTTACAAATTTTAGCCATTATTATTTTCATTAAATGGAAACCCTGTAGAATGTGGTCATGTGAGGATGGAATCACCTGTCTCTTTAATAATTCAGTTTAATTAAAAGCGGCGTCACGTCAGTACCTGTGTTTAAACGATATAATTACTTCAGTTGGACACTCTTCTTCCCTTTGTACCCAGCCAACAGAGACCCCCTCTCCTCCCACTGCTTCTATGATTGGTCGACTCTCATCCATGTCTGGCACTGACTTTAAATCACCCTGGACTCACTTGGATAACTGCTAGTTTCAAGTCCCTCATGCAACAGAATGACTAACCGAATAACTGAAGAAGTGGAGTGAGAAAGAGTCTAGGTTTCCATTCCATGTTCTTTTTATAACTACTTATATAATGTTATTCTCAGATCAATACAGTTTCACTATTGAGCTTCGAGCTCACTGTCAAGCCTAAATTGGACAAGCTCTGTGTAAAAAGATAACGTGCTGTCCTAAAGTGAATTTGACATCTGCAGTTGCAAACCTCTTCAGCAATGGCTTAAGCTAAATCCAATCGTCTGCAAGAAAAAAAGAACAAATGCTTATCTGAGCAATCTAAATTAAAATAGAGAGTTCCCTAATGGCATGAGCTGAGAGGATGGAAGGAAAAAAAAAGCTTGTATTTCCTTTTTGCCACTCATTCAAGTTCAGAATTAAAAGCAATTTTGTTTTCAAAGGTATACATTAAAAGGTGCATTATGTAACATTTCTGATCGGGGGTGGCGATGTTATTGCTATTGTCCCAAATGTTCTACATAGTGTGGCCTTAAACTTATCCACCCATCCAAATGGGGGATGCCACCAGGCCAAATCACAGACCAGATCTGTAACGAGGTGACCCTGCTAACAATATGAATGCATGTTTACAAGGTATTTGTAACTGGATAAATGCAAGATAGAAGTTTAATAAGTTTAATGCTATACTATGGAAAATTTTACTAAATAACATCTCCACAAGACAAGCAGGACCCTCCACTAGCAAAGTTACACGAAGTACCTTTAAATAGAAAAATCAATATGTGAGCATATAGTATACATAACAAGAAATGTATACCAACTTGCTATTTGATATTAAAAGCTAAAGACTTATTCCATTCATTGATTTAACACTGTAATGCCTGCTTGTAATATGAGCTTTGTGCTAACTCTTATCCTTGTAGTAGCTGTCTTATAACTTTCATATTTGTTGTTTTCTCACTTGGATGACTGGCACCGCAGTGGTCATATTCGCGTTAATGAAGCCGTGTTATAAAAGTTGTCTCTGGGAAGTAACAATGGAAGTCTCTAGACATCTCTGCAATAGTTTGGCAGGCAATTACTCTAATGAACAAGGAGGAGAGACCATAGGAAGACAGCAGAGCGAATCGGCAAAATATAACCCTCTTAAAACTAAACCTTAATAGCAATAGCCATGGTAATTAATTTCCTATCTGCAGTAAAGTTCAACATTGACACTAAGTGTTTCATTCTCTAACATTATCATAGAAAATATACATGTTCATTTATTGCTTACCTGCCATGGTTGAAATGCCTAGAATAACTCCAATAGACAATTCAATCTGTGTGCCCTGCGGAAAATAGAGAAAAAAAGGAAAAACTAAAGAGAGAACAAGCATGTAATAGGCATTTATACGCTTATATGACAGTGGCATCCTTTTAAAAAGTATGCTATGTATTCAAAGTACTGTATTCAAACAACAACTCCAACATCCCAATATACTTACAGCAAGAATCATGATGCAGTTGTCCAGGAATCCAAACCCAACAAATGGGAGTGCGTTGTGCAAAAGAACTGAAAAAATATAAGCTATAATTAATCAATTGTGAAAAGTTGCCACACAATAAATAGCCCATTAGAACCAGTTACAAGGCAACAAGCCAGTGCAAGCTAATAAAACACATTTTCATGTAGAATATTCAGTGTATTTCAAAATGTTAAAATTATGCAAGCCAAACCTTCAGACAGATGGCTTAGGGTTCTTTTGTTTTGCTCTTGTTTATTTTCAAAGTCTTTCTTCTGCTCTACCTCTTTTTATTACAACAAACTTTACCAGCAGCACAGCACCTCCAGACAATACACATTTAGTACAATGCCAGGAATTCACTTGGTTTCGAGTGTGGAGTGGATCTACAAGAGGTGAGCTGTGGTCTTTAGTGGTGAAACTAAAGGGAAATGCTGTGTCCTGATAAAACAAACTCTCTCTACAGGGAGAGATTAGATTCAATCTGAGATACTGGGCTGGAGAAATGTTTAGAAATGTGCAAAGCTGCTGTTGTCAAGTAGAGATACTCATGATTAAACTGATGTGCCTTTCCTGAAGATTAGGGGGCACCCTATATCAGATTTTATGTTACAATTATTGTGAGATGAATCATGAAGAATCATCAGTTTATGACTGCTGACACCATGACCAAACAGAGAATGTAGTTTTCTGAGTGAAATCCATCTTTACTTGCCTTTCAGTTTAAGTTTCACAGATTTACATTCCTCTACCACTACCACGAATAATAAAATAAGGTTAATGTTTCATAAACAACCAGGTAAAAGCACTTTACATTAGGTTTTTTGTGTACTCAAGTTAACTGAGGTTTTTTTAAATTTTGCTTCTAACATTGACCTGATAAATCACATTTACTGACTACTGGTTCATCTTGACATCCTTGTCTGAGAATTTGTATGTTTGAACAGACTAATGTTCTTCCTCTTTTCACTTAATAAAGACAAGGGAAACACTGACTTCAGAATCATATGATCTCTTCCTCACTCATGTACATGTGACTCTGCTTTTAGCTACAGAGCAGTAGCTGTGTTTTTCAGCAATTGAGTTTCTACAGCAGGGTGTCCAAACTTTTTCACAGAGGGAAACATAAAGAAACATATCTGAACCAGAGGGCCACAGACTAGTGGGCTAATACAGTGGATCATTCCGATGGGTGCATTTTACACCATTTTGATAGAGCCACCATACTTTTAGTAAGTCTTGGAACATAAACTGTAGGTCTGTAAACTGCAATGTCATTGATTATTGAGGTTGGTTGAGTGAGGCTGTTATGTAATGAATGCCTATGATTGGACAATTGGACAATTTTAGCAAAAGGGTTAAGGGCCAATAAAAATTGGTCAGAGGATCCCATTTGGCCCCATAGTTTGGATAACCTCTTCTACAGTCTTAGTGCTGAACCTGAGGCAGCTCAGGAAGATAGAAAATGAAAAATCGGAGAAGGCTTTTGATGCCAAATCAATATTTCACAGTGAGAAGCAGATGATCTTTGGTGGTAACGCCATTTGTTGTTGTGCAATACACACGTGACATGATATTCTATGTTTAAAGCCAATTTTTGACTTTTTAAAATAATAAATTACAAATTTGTTTTAATATCCAATGATTTCTTCCCTGGAAAACATACTCAGCTACTAATCAGGTAAAGCTACAAATGATCACAGATGGTCCTGCTGCGATGCTGCACATACAGTAATGCATATTTAAAATGCTCATTAAACCTGATTACACCGAGTTGTGTTTTCTCTGGGGATAGACTGACAACAAAAGAGATTAAAAACAACACATTAACCTGCTCTACTATGTAAATCTATATTGACATTTCATTAACCTTACAGGTTGATTTCTAGATTGTCTGTCATTGTTATCAAAACACATGTTTGACACTGGATAAGCATGATTTAGTATTTTAAAAATAACTTCAGTGACTCCTACCGTATCTTAGCTGTGCAGTAGTTGGTGGAGCGATATCCATCTGCCCTGGAGAGAAAAGAAATACACATGTTAAACATCTCCATTATCGCCTATGCTGTGATGCCCAGAGAGGCACTTCTCAAAAGGCCAAGGCTCAAAGTAAGAGAGTGAGAGAGAGAGGCAGGAAAGACAGAGTGAAACAGACAGATTGAGAGCGAGGTAGAGAGAGAAGAAAGAGAGAGTGAGAGAGAGAAACAGAAAATTACACAAATGAAAGCAGAGAAGCAAATTATTTCAAACATTTCCTCCATCGTCAAGTGTATCATGGATGAGGTCAAAGGTTATGTGAGAAAATGGTAATGAGTTTGCCCAAGAGGAAAATATTGTGCGATGATATTCAGAGGGTTTAAAATACAACTTTTCTAACTCTGAGAAGTTTGAGGCAGACTCAACCACAAGTCAGACCATCATTTTAAGTTTTTAAGAACAAAACGTACAGCGGGGTGGCTTCCTATGCAGTAAATTGGATTTCGGTAGCTGTGGTAATGAAGTCTACTCCGTAGTATTGTCGTTCTCTTTGCAGGACAAGTCAGGTCATGGAAAAGGCTAAGGAAAGCCCTGGAGATAGAGGTAGACACACTCAGTAATACACAGGTATAGATTCACATGAAGCACAATCCGCTTTGAGATGAGAAGCTAATGCAGTATAAAGTAAATGCCAGTGTCCAATTACATGTCCAATTAAGTGTATTGTGTGTAATCTGCATGGCATTTAAAAAGAAAGGTAATAAAGTGTGAATTAATAAAAAAATAAATAAAATCTCCTTTCCCTAGAGGTGAAGAATGTTTTTTAGTCGATTTGCTTAACATAAAAGTACAAGACAAATTATGTCTCGGCATAATTTTTTCAGTAATTAAACAATAAATATGTATGGAAATTCAGTTATCAGATCTAGATTCTGGATTTCTTCTCTCCTTGCATTCATCTGTAGTATCACTGCTAATGTTATCTGCCTCATCTGTTAACACTTTGGCACAACTCTGTTAAAAGTGGCAAGGCAGGTCTATTGTTAGATCACAATTGTAAACCAGTTACTGTATTTCAAAGTGCTTTACAGAATAACAATAACATTACAATCACAATATAACCCAATTAAATAGAAATAATTATTATCAAATGAATTTTAGAAAGAAACAAAGAGTGCATATTAAATTAATGATATGCACAACTAAACAGATCCATGAGCCTAGACTGACCATTGTCAGAGTGCTCAAATGGCTTGACTTGGCTGTTCATAGCTCTAGTCAATAGGAGGCAGCACATGAAGCTAGACATGTTGTTCAGAAAAAGAAATGAGGATTTGTATCTCAGTGAATTGAAGCATTTACCCTCAAACTATAACTGTATGAGAAAAGTGAGATTTTCCAGACTCTACATGCATTTACCCATTGTGTTTTGGCTAATCCTGACCAGTGCTCTCCCAGTAAGTATAGCTCAGATACTGGTCACACCCATCCGCCTCCCCCTCCTGGTGTCATGTTACTGTCTCATTCACCTCTTCGTGCGGTCTGCTCTCATGTTGCTGCATGGACTAACTGCTCACCTGATTAGAACTGGCTTAAAAAACGTTTTTGTTTCGGAAACTGTATTAAACTCCAATTCTCCAAATCCTCCATGCAAACAGTTAAAGGCCCTGTAAATGATTTTTCCCCAAGTATTTTGAGCAGAACTTGTCCCAGTACTGATATATTGTAGAAGCGCTCCAGAGGTCAAAATAAATCTGCTGTGGGCTGTCTGCATCTAATTAGAAAGCATTTTATTGTTCGATAATTAGGAAGTGTGTAAAAGCATGCTGCTTTACCATTTTGGCAGAACTCTGCAATGGATCCTGAGAGGTGTGAAAGCAATTATAAACTCTATGCTGAAGACAGTAATAATCAAGTACACCGGCTATTAACAGATTTTGTTAAATGATCAAACAAACTTGAGAGACATTATGCATAATTTGAGCTGAAAATAAATAGCAAACACATCAAGGCTGAACTGGGAGTACTTTGAAGTTTTAATCTGAATTTCCTAATGACCATTTGGAGCTCAAATAGAGAAACATTAGCTGCTACATCAAAGTGAGATGAATCACTGGCAACAAAATACTATACAGAGACATTTTTCAGTGAGACTGAGAGTGAGAGTCAGTTTTCGGTAAGTTCATATTTTGTACTACCTTTGTAAAAATAATTACAGATCAATCTACTCTGTGCAAGTCTTAAGCACACATGAAAAAGGGAGGGGTGAAGTAGGGCAGCTCATTTGAAATCCTTAAGAGGTACAACAGGCTGATGAAAGTTGTGATCTCATCCATGTGAACTTGTGCTATTTTGGTGACATTGTCACATTATGATCCAGTGTTTCTCTGTTTAATGTCACTCTCTAATCAAACAGATACTTCCCCACCCACTCGTCCTGTTTGTCAGCCACACATAGGGCTCTGAATGAGTGACAGGTGGAATTAACCAATCTTAGTGAAGTCTCAGCAGAAGCAGATAACTTAATTTACCACTTAAAGGCAATGGAAAGATAGTGTTGAATTTGAATTGTGATCAAATTGAATTTGTGATCTAGGCTTCAAGAAAATCATGATCACAATTCTTAGACATATCTCCCTAGGAGATATGCAACATTTGAACATTGTGTTTCTGTAATAAAACCATTTAAAATGCTATAAAGAGCTGAATGAAAATAAAAAGAACATAAACTTCAAACACAGGAATACAGTGATATTTCTGCACTTTGTGTTTTATTTTACAGTTAATTCATTTTAACCTCAACCACAACATTTATTACGTGCCATAATACTTACAAAAAATTATCATCAGAATATAAAACATCAAAAGTCAAATGCCCAGAAATGAGCATTTAGTATTTATTAGAAAAAATAATACAAATTGAAAATGGGGGGGCTCAAAGATAATGATGTGTGACGTTATGAAATCTACTCAGCCAAAAATATTACTACAAAATCTTTCATCACTTGGAGAAATGGCCCAAATGAAAATGCTGCAGCCTCTCCTCGTCTCCTCACCAAAAATTCGCAGGAAGCTGTCCCCCTCTCACATGGTTCATTTATGATCTGTATGATATCAGACAGGAGCACATACACTGCCCCAAATCTACTCTGCTATCACGTATTGATCACCACAGATTTTAAAGCCCCTCTGGGCCACTGCCTCTGTAGAATAAGATTGTAACAGACAGAAGAGAAAAGGGCGTTTAATGGGATGTGATAAGTGACCAGGCTAAGGCCTAATTCAATACTGACGCAGCTTTGTTCACACTGATTACAATCTAGTCTGCTTGTATTGCAGAGTCACCAAAAACACCCGCATAGCCCCACACAGACACATTTACAGATAAACAATAATAATATCTGCTAATCTAAGATGTCAATCACAAGTGAATTAGTGCCAAGGTTGTACAGGGCAAAAAACAAGTTATATCATCAAGACAGAAATGGGTGCTTTTTGCAAGAAGCAGCAAAATATGTCTTAGGTAGGGTACATCTTGGTCGGGGTGTGCAAAAATATTGAAATATACAAAATGATACAAAATTTGGTCATACAGTATCTATATAACGCCAAAATTACTTTTTGGTATCTTTAAGCAATTTTCTTTGTGACAGCACTACAATTTTGTTGTTTATAGTTGAAGGAAGCTTGTTTATGCAACACACTTGACATATTTACTGTTTTGATAATTAAAACAGATGTATTTCATATTAACTTTGCACAAGTAGTGGTTTAGCAAAGAAATACAGTGGGTAAAATGTATTTCCTTCTTAAAAACAATTATATGTCAGGCACTATATACTTACTGCATGTATCACCATATCATGATAATATCGTATCGTGCGTCATGTGCCATGTATCGTATCGAATAGTGAGGGACCCTGTGATTCCTAGTCCTACATCTTGGAAAGTTCCATACAGTCCAAATATATTTTGACAGCAACCTATTTAGTATCCAAGTAAATTGTCATTCTTTTTGCTTCTAGACAGGCCATTACTGCAGCTCTCTGATAAATATCTTATTGCTTTCCAGTCTATGTTGTACTTTTATGGCTTAGAAAATGGGATTTATATTCACTAGCCTAGCAGTAATTCCTGAACACTTCCATTAGTCTCTATGTAAATAAAATAAAAGCTATAAGAGCGAGTGCAATTGAATTCCTTATCACTTCTATAGCTTTGGCTGGAAAATGTAGTAGTAAACAAAAAAGTAAAATAACAAAAATAACCAAATACTGCAGGGTTCATAGACATGTGTCAGTCCTCACACAGTCTAAGAAAAACATATATTCATGAATTCAGCAAAACTCATCTACATTTCTCTGTCTGGCAGGATTGGAGACATACCGTAACATATGGATCAGCCAATTTACTGCCTTTCTGTTAGAAATACTAAACTTAATATTAAGATCTAAAGGAGGAGTATTGTAGTCTTATCAGGAAAGCTGAGACTTGACTGTGAAATCATGAGCACACACAAAAGCTTCTGTTCCAACGTAGCTTTAACCATTTATTTTGTATTTAATGTTGTCCTTGCAGATGATACCACTATTGTGAAAACAATCACCCGGGCCAAAAATAAAAGCAGAGACAAAAGCCTTATTCCATTGTATCTTGTGAAAGTGTGAAAAAGTTTTAGCAAAGAAAATCTGTGAAGAAAACACTTTCATGGCTGAGCTGTTATGCTGACAAATATATGCCTTTGAATTCCAAGCTGTTCTTCGCTCAAACAAATGATGACAAATAAAGTCAATGGCATTTTCTGCAAATTCAGGTTTTGAAACAACAGAAATCAGGCATTTCTTCACTAAATGTTCTCAAAACCTATGCAGTTTGTAGAAAGATAAAGAATACTGTATATTCTTGATGGGTTCATGTGATATCATAACATTATAATCAAAATATTTTTTAAACTGAGTTGGAGATGAGAATTACAAGGTGGAATTTATTATTATTAAATCTGGATTGGGGGCTTACATAAAACATAAAATATAAGGCTG